ACTCATGTATACCAGTGAAAGAAGTCATTATATTGAGACTCATAGATTACCAGTAAGAGAAGTCATTATATTGAATTCATGGATACCAGTGAGAGAAGTCATTATATTGAATTCATGGATACCAGTGAGAGAAGTCATTATATTGAATTCATGGATACCAGTGAGAGAAGTCATTATATTGAGACTCATGTATACCAGTGAAAGAAGTCATTATATTGAATTCATGGATACCAGTGATAGAAGTCATTATATTGAGACTCATGGATACCAGTAAGAGAAGTCATTATATTGAGACTCATGGATACCAGTTAGAGAAGTCATTATATTGAGACTCATGGATACCAGTGAGAGAAGTCATTATATTGAGACTCATGGATACCAGTGCGAGAAGTCATTATATTGAATTCATGGATACCAGTGAGAGAAGTTATTATATTGAGACTCATGGATACCAGTGAGAGGATTCAAGTCCAATGTACATGATCGTTTTTACGGTTATAAAAATAGTACCTCCCATACATAGGTAACATGACCATTAACTTGGGCTTATACTCAAACTCTCTTACCAAAGTGGACAGTTATCCTTCTCCCTGTGCCTCTGTTCCCCAAATCAGAAACATGTGCCTTTATCAATGTCTTGTGTTACGTCTTTTATATTAAGTATAAAGTTGAATAAATGTCTACACAAATCACTGCATAAAATAAGGTACTCCTATAAATGTGAGCAATATAAAGCTTTTGTCTTCTGTTGCTGTGTCAGATCAGCATGGCACCACCACACTGTTTGTCCAAGGGGAAACCACACGAGCATCACCACCAAGTACTGATCAGTGGTACCAGTGTAAGCACACACAGAACACGAGCATTACAACCCAGTATTAGACCAACAGATGATCAGTGGTACCTGTGTAATCACACACAGAACACTACCATGACCACCCAGTACTGCACCAACAGATGATCAGTGGTACCTGTGTAAACACACACAGAATACTACCATGACCACCCAGTACTGCACCAACAGATGATCAGTGGTACCAGTGTAAACACACACAGGATACTACCATACCTACCCAGTACTACACTAACAGATGATCAGTGGTAACAGTGTAATCACACACAGAACACTAGCATCACTACCCAGTACTGCACCAACAGATGATCAGTGGTACCAGTGTAAGCACACACAGAACACTAGCATCACTACCCAGTACTGCACCAACAGATGATCAGTGGTACCAGTGTAAGCACACACAGGACACTAGCATCACTACCCAGTACTGCACTAACAGATGATCAGTGGTACCAGTGTAAGCACACACAGAACACTAGCATCACTACCCAGTACTACACTAACAGATGATCAGTGGTACCAGTGTAATCACACACAGAACATTAGCATCACTACCCAGTACTTCATTAACAGATGATCAGTGGTAACAGTGTAATCACACACAGAACACTAGCATCACTACCCAGTACTGCACCAACAGATGATCAGTGGTACCAGTGTAAGCACACACAGAACACTAGCATCACTACCCAGTACTGCACCAACAGATGATCAGTGGTACCAGTGTAAGCACACACAGAACACTAGTATAACCACCCAGTACTCTATTAACTGATGATCAGTGGTACCAGTGCAATCACACACATAATACAAGCATCACTACCCAGTACTCTATTAACTGATGATCAGTGGTACCAGTGTAAGCACACGCAGGACACTAGTATCACTACCCAGTACTCTATTAACTGATGATCAGTGGTACCAGTGCAATCACACACAGAACACTAGCATCACTACCCAGTACTTCATTAACAGATGATCAGTGGTACCAGTGTAAGCACACACAGGACACTAGTATCACTACTCAGTACTTCATTAACAGATGATCAGTGGTACCAGTGTAAGCACACACAGGACACTAGCATCACTACCCAGTACTAGACCAACAGATGATTAGTGGTACCAGTGTAAACACACACAGGATACTACCATACCTACCCAGTACTGCACCAACAGATGATCAGTGGTACCAGTGTAAGCACACACAGGACACTAGCATCACTACCCAGTACTAGACCAACAGATGATCAGTGGTAACAGTGTAATCACACACAGAACACTAGCATCACTACCCAGTACTGCACCAACAGATGATCAGTGGTACCAGTGTAAGCACACACAGAACACTAGCATCACTACCCAGTACTACACTAACAGATGATCAGTGGGATCAGTGGTACCAGTGTAATCACACACAGAACACTAGCATCACTACCCAGTACTTCATTAACAGATGATCAGTGGTACCAGTGTAAGCACACACAGGACACTAGCATCACTGCCCAGTACTTCATTAACAGATGATCAGTGGTACCAGTGTAATCACACACAGAACATTAGCATCACTACCCAGTACTTCATTAACAGATGATCAGTGGTACCAGTGTAATCACACACAGAACACTAGTATAACCACCCAGTACTCTATTAACTGATGATCAGTGGTACCAGTGCAATCACACACATAACACAAGCATCACTACCCAGTACTCTATTAACTGATGATCAGTGGTACCAGTGTAAGCACACACAGGACACTAGTATCACTACCCAGTACTCTATTAACTGATGATCAGTGGTACCAGTGCAATCACACACAGAACACTAGCATCACTACCCAGTACTTCATTAACAGATGATCAGTGGTACCAGTGTAATCACACACAGGATACTACCATAACTACCCAGTACTGCACCAACAGATGATCAGTGGTACCAGTGTAAGCACACACAGGACACTAGCATCACTACCCAGTACTACACTAACAGATGATCAGTGGTACCAGTGTAATCACACACAGAACACTGGCATCACTACCCATTACTGCACCAACAGATGATCAGTGGTACCAGTGTAATCACACACAGAACACTAGCATCACTACCCAGTACTTCAATAACAGATGATCAGTGGTAACAGTGTAAGCACACACAGGACACTAGCATCACTGCCCAGTACTTCATTAACAGATGATCAGTGGTACCAGTGTAATCACACACAGAACACTAGTATAACCACCCAGTACTCTATTAACTGATGATCAGTGGTACCAGTGCAATCACACACATAACACAAGCATCACTACCCAGTACTCTATTAACTGATGATCAGTGGTACCAGTGTAAGCACACACAGGACACTAGTATCACTACCCAGTACTCTATTAACTGATGATCAGTGGTACCAGTGCAATCACACACAGAACACTAGCATCACTACCCAGTACTTCATTAACAGATGACATGATCCCACCTACCTCTGGCCAATCTGTAATCACTTTATACAGTCCTTCATTAGACGGCATATCACCTTCTACTTTACCACCTTTACTTTTTTTTCCTTTAGATGATTTACGTTTCTTTGGTTTCAGTAGAGCAGACACTTGTGGCTGCTGTTCACCACGACTCATTGGGTTTTGTTTCTATAGTAAAATATGAGAAGATACTCAACACTAAGACAATCCTACAAATGTTTTACATTACATCCCTGATTGACAAAACTTGGTAATTCTTTCATAAGAAAATATATAACACTAAGATGCGATGCATACATTTTTATATGCATTTCATTTTATTGTTCTGATTTGTAACAACATTTAACAACATTAATCCAGGCATGTCCTGGAAAGGAAGTCAGAGAGATGGTAAGATGGATACACACATATATGCGTTGTTGGATTAGATGAGATCCAATTAATCCAATTAGCCAAGGAAATAGAAAGCAATGTAATGAAACATAACATTAACAGCCTTACCGATTCATCCAATAATCTGTTTTCAAGATGTCTCTGACTTCGTATGTGTCGATTCAACAACTGCAAAAATAAAACAAACAAGTTGAGGAAACGTTCCGGAGATTGTAGAAAGGTAGCAGTGTGTGTAAACTTGATTAATCAAAGTTAAATAACCTCTGGTGAGATTTCCCTATGTTACATAATATCGTTTCATTTATCATAGTTTGTTTCAATATGAATACGCATAGTCATAATTAATTTTGAATACAAACATGTTTTAGGATTGAAACAACAGTGGGAAAGCAGTCTACAAAAACTCTGGGATTGATGTAATTATGTTACAAAAACATTGGTGCCTAAATTGAACTGATAAAATAGCAAATACACTTGTTCAGTCAGAATAT